TAGATGCTGACTGCAAAGCTAGTTTTTCCGAATTCATTCTGACAAACTAGGACGTTTCATTTGAAATTGCCATCCTCGCCAAGTTTTTCCATCTACTCATGCATGATTGTCACAACAAGAGCTTTCTTTTGTTCGACAAGATTTAGTCTGTTTTGTACACTTGTGGCCAAAATATTTGCACGATGGGCTTGCAATAAACAACGCGTATCTTGCAGTACCTTATGTGCATGTAAATACAAGTGCGTTCATTATGCTCCAGAGGGATCATCGTAAGCTAGTGTTAGAACACATAAAATAACTTCCATCTGGTCGGTAGTGTCAGCGACCTACTGCGATGCACTGCGGCAGCTCGGTCAGAACCCTGAAAACATTCACTTTGTGAGTGGCTTCCAGCCCAGACCACTGATGTTTTCGGCTGTGATTGAAGTGAGTTATGCTGTTTACAACTGCGGCTGCCATTTCGGACTTGACACGTGCTCGACATGATTTGCTTCTTTTATGCTTCTCTGGACGGCCGTGATGCGTATTATTAAAACAAGCACATGTATTCAATCAGCTCAGTGATATCCCAATCATTCTTTGCAAAATTCTCTGAGTTCCTTCATAGGTCACCCTCTTAAATTATCTTTAAAGGTGGCCTCTGACGATATTGACGAGTCTGGCGCCCGTACCTACAGCATTTTACGGCGTTCGTAACAGTATTTTCTGGAGCATTCTGTAGCACGTCAGGCTGCTCCCTACGGCAAGGATCAATCTTCCTCACGGCGATACACTCGCTACAGAAAAGTCCACAGCAATGCAAATCAAACGGCGGTGCTATATCCATCTTCAACGGCAACATGCTTTTGACTTCGTTGTCAGGGATGACAAGCTGTTCATAAATTATTCAGGCCTCGTCTTCCGCATCAACTAGGAAGGATGAAACACTCCCACAGCCCTCTGGCGGGCCACGAATCGTAGCCTGTCACCTCGTCTTGCGCAAAGTTCTTTTGATTTTTACATAGACTTGGTCCACCAACACCACGTTTGTTAAAATTCAGCTCATCTCTCGAACCAAAATCAGTATATTGCAAAGGGGTGTATTTCAACTACAGCAGCTTCCATGCTGTGAAGCAAGCGTACAGACAGCCTGATTCGTCCCAGCACGAAGCCAATGTACGACCCAATATTTAAAGAGACTTGGGCTACCAAAATGGTTCTTGTTTTTCATAGAGTGAGTGCAAAATTACATTTCCAAAAGTGTAGTTTCCAAAAAAAACGTTTCAGAAGCACCACAAATAGGACAGCTGCAAGGTAGTTTAAAACCCGTACGTTTCAGGAGCCACCGAAAATATGACCGCTTTTGTCTTAGTTTTCTATCGTAATTTGATGGACAAAAATATGGTAATGATGGAATTATAATCTGTAGCATTCGCCTCCCGATGGACACGTGTCAGGACAGATATTCAAATAATCACTTCGACAAAAGAGAAAGCACAGGGAGAACATAAAAATTTAACGGGTCAGGAGAGCAAGCAAAACTCACTCCATACTCAGCTCAAAAATTATACTTCGGCAGGCCCTGCCTGCAAAAACCGAGTTAGACTCCGGACCCTGACTTCCCGATGCGGTGGGCCCTCAGACCCCATCCCTTGGCGGCGCCGTTCTGTCTCGCTGGAGGTGATTCCGACCCCGCCCCTCTCACCCCCGCCCCGGGCGGCTGGGCACCGCTCGATGCGGCACCACAGGGCCCTCTCGCCGGCCGACGCAGCTAAAAATAGCCCGCCCGGCCGGCCGCCCGGCGGCTGCCTGCCGTTATCCCCATTGGTATTCCACGGCGGCCGCAAGGCTTTTGCACCTGGCGAATGGTGGGGGTCGTCTGATGCGAATACCGCTGGCAGGATGAAGGAGTAGGAGGTAAGATGGATGCACCCCGGAAAAACGTCTCCAGGAATGCCTACTTCTCCACTTTTCCTTGACCTACTTACTTTCCATTCATATCGCCCATTTTCCTGCTTTCCTTTCCGTCGCTCCCCCATCGCCGCCTAGCTCTCCCTGGCCTGCGTTACGACACGAAATGGCCTGCGGTTCGGCTCCAGCCGCGCAAACAACACGCTGCGACCTTCCCGGGTTCCCGCCGCCGGGGCGGCCGCGGCCGGGCGGCGCGGCCGGGCGGCGCGGCCGGGCAGAGCGCTCCCGACAGCCGAACGGACCGCACGGACCGCCGTCCCGCCACCTGCTGCCAGAGCGAGTGGGGAGGCGGGGGGGGGGGGGGGCATCTGGGCACCCCCGTGTGACGAATAGCTTTGGCTCCCTACCTTACTTTATGGTGATCGGGAATTAAAAGGCCACTGGGCCTGTAGGTTCCGGTCTTGTCAGGCTCACGGTCCGGTAACCGAACAGTCTCACACTATGGATAGATTTAGTGTGGGACGACATAGATGATGTCAGCCCAGTGCAGATCAAGCCTAGACTTGAACTGGTCAACTGAGGTTGACGACACGACCGGGCGTGGAAGAACGTTCCAATCGTTGACGACCTGCGTGCCGAACGAGTTGCGACGGACGAAAGTCCTAGCTCGAGGTTTTCTGAGCTTCCATTTGTGTCCTCTTGTCACCTCCGAGTTGCATCTTGTCAGGAACTCCTCTTTCGACAGCAACATACCTCTGTGAAACAGCTGGTGTACTGTTACCAGGCCTCCTCTGCGACGACGGTAGTACAACGAGGGCAACTGAAGGAGTCTGAGCCTCTCAGGGTATGACTAATGCCTCACTTCATACACGAGCCGGGTGGCTCGTCGCTGAACCCGCTCCAGCCGCTTCTGGTCCAGTTTGTCTAACGGACCCAGATAACGTTGCCATACTCTAGTACGGACGTACTAATATCTTATAGAACAATGGCAGCGTGCGAGCATCGATGATGGCAAAAGACCGCCTCACGACGGTCAGAGTACTCCTCTCACTGGAGTGATTACGGGCCGCCGTCCGATGTGCGTTCGTGGTCTTGAGTCTGCGAGCATCGATGATGGCAAAAGACCGCCCCACGACGGTCAGAGTACTCCTCTCACTGGAGTGATGACGCGCCGCCGTCCGGTGTGCGTTCGTGGTCTTGAGCCTGCAGCGGTTGTATGTGGTGCGCATAGAAATCTGCTGCAAATGATACGGATGAGATGGAGGTAGGGCAGCGGTGTACTGAGTAGGCCAAGTAGGGCAGCGGTGTACTGAATGCATGTAGATGAGTTGACTTTTGAGATTTTACAGACCTGGCAGTAGGTTGCCACATTTCTGGTTGGACTGATGTAGGGAACGCAATCTACTTCAGGTCAATGGATAGGCGACGGAGGGATGATTTTGTTGCGAGGGTGATCATGGATTAGACTTACCGAAACATAATTATCTAGCGCAGGACGGATAGTTATATATACACGTGGTATTTTTTTATTAGCGTGAATATTTTCATTGTTCACGTCTATTTGACTGGGACGCCAGGAATACGCTACATCCAATAATTATTTTTTTGAATGACGCGTTGCTTTACAACGAAAGCAAAACTTTCCTTACCGCGAGAGATCTTTCTCCTCAGTAGCGAGGGAATATCCACCAGCATCGCACACTGCCGCCCTAGAGGCTCCAACTGCGGCACCTTCGCGGGCCTGCCGCGGTCACACGCCTGCCGTCAGAGCCCCGCCGGAGTATGCCTGCTGGAGAGGGCCTGTACCGATCTATCGGGCCCGGCGGTCAGAGGACGGCTCTGGCGGCACGGAGCGAGACTAGGCCCTCGTAGTGGGTCACCGGACCGAAGAGTCCGCTTGGCGGCGGGCCACGCCGTTGAACCTACTGTCGCGGCGCTGGCTGGCACAGCGAGAAGGCAACAGAGCAGTCGATCGCCAGCTGCTGTCACCTCCTCGGTAGCAGCCAGTCAAGGAAAACTTTTCGAAGTTAGGTCTGAACCAAGGATCTCCCACCTTACTGGCAAGACAAACTGCACCATCGAAACTGTAATGACGCATTGGCCTTCAACTCACAGACTATTTCGGTACCGAATTAAGTCTTCGTAGGCATTATCCCCGCAGGTTTTGTTTTACCCCTTCCAATCGTCCACATCACATGTTATGATTTTGTTTTACCCCTTCCAATTGTCCTCATCACATGTCATGATTTTGTTTTACCCCTTACAATTGTCCTCATCACATGTCATGATCCAACCGTGTCTTGTCATCAGTCACCCACGCTTTTTGTGAATCAGAAACCCACTCAAAGTTCACACAAATTTTGTCGACATAATTTGTGATCTACCCCAACTCGCCTGTCCTACGAATAAGTTAGGAGCGTCAGTCACTGCATTTGGCCCTAGTTGTTTACGGATCATTGGATGCGTAGCTTGACATCAAACGTTTTTTTTTTTCGTAGAAAGTACGGCGATATAGACAACCAATGATATGTACGATCAAGTTACTCTCTCACAATAGTGTCAAACTATTACAGACAGTGAACAATGTTCCCACCATCACTGCATCGGTCAATTACTTTTGCCCGTCATTCACCTCCTCCCCTACTTCCGCTCAGCCTTAGGGCTGAGAAGAGTTCGCTTACGCTTCTTGGGCGGTGAGTGGTTCAAAATAGTAATATCACACTCTTTGCGATGCAATTTGGTGTTATTGATCATGACTCATTCGATATATGAGGCATTTGGGAGGCGTTCAAGTGCAACGATTGCCTAAGGTAGGAATATAATGTTCACAGAATTATTGAAAGGACCCATTTCGATTTAAGGTCAGTTAATTCCAACGAAACTCATAGGTCCCAAGTGAAAACGTCAACGACATGGCTCGAATCTCCTCCCCCCGCTCCCCCTGTCTTATGCACGTTCCATCCACTCCCCCAATGCTGATGGTCGCATATGCCGGTGATTAGCCTCGGTCCGTCGAAGCTGCTCAGGCTTGTCTCTGTTTTCCTTTGATCGTTTTCTGCCAATAATTTTCCAGCCCTTTTTGCCTGCCTGACAATCACGTTCTTCGACAGATATGAGCTCCATGATCCGAAGTAAATACAACATCACCAACGACGACTACAGCACAATGGAGACTGTCGTTACGAAAATCGGTGCCGTTCAAAGCCGGCAACCAGTGGAAGTTCGCCGGGGCCTTTTACTACGCCATCACTGTGCTAACCACCATCGGTAAGTGGCATGGTAGCTCTGGTGTTACTTCTTCGTCTCTTGGGGACAGCAAGCCGTCCTCCCCGTGACATCGCTGGGTTCCATGCTTCCAATTACAGTCAGATCATGCTTGGAAATCGCTCCAGGAGCAGCTGCGGACGAAACTAGATGCTTGCAGCAGCAAAAGACAACACAGGCTGCAGTAGCAAAAGACAAATGTGCTGTGAGCAGATTTGTGACTTTTTCCATTGATTGACTTTTTGGAGGCTGAAAAAAGATGACCACAAATATCGCCGCTGGGCAAAGATCCTGTTCAATCTGTTTGTCAAAACGTGATGGCGTCGAAGTCATTAAGACTTGACGAAGCTTGTGATGATGCAACACACACCCGCAGGCACGCACGCGCACACACACACACACACACACACACACACACACACACACACCACACACACACACACACACACACACACACACACACACACACACACACACACACACACACACACACACACACACACACACCACACACACACACACACACACACACACACACACACACACACACACACACACACACCACACACACACCACACACACAACACACACACACACACACACACACACACACACACACACACACACACACACATATATATATATATATATATATATATATATATATATATATATGTATGTATATATGTGTGCATATGTATATATTTATGTATTTATTTATTTACGTTTCTAACGGTATGTCGGCTTTGTATGCAAAGGGTATTCAGAACGAATGCGTTCTCCGAAGCCCGAGGATAGGTCGTTTGCAAACGGCAGTAAGTGGTAAGTAAGGGTGAGATGTCCGAAGTGTCCCACATGTCTAGAGAAATGACGGCTCTGTCAACAATCGCGCTAGATTCATTGGTACATATCTCTAGCCCTTATAGGACTATGGAGAATCAATAACTTTGACAGATATCCCTGGAAGAATGACGGTTCGGCAGCTCCGGCAGTAAGATGAGGCATTACGAAGCAGGCATGCGGTCAGATCTTGTGTTGGCAGTAATAATGTCCACGGGCTCATATCTGGTTCCAAGGTGTTGATGTTTTCCACTCGCTGTAGGTACGCTCCATAATGTTGTTATCCCACGTTCCGTCTCAGCATTGTTTGTGGCGCGTTCGGGCTTCTTTGTTTGCCTAGTGTGTCAGTGTGCACCACAACGTTTTGACCGGCCTATCTCCGGCCGTCGTTAACTATTAGCCCCACACAACGTTTTGACCAGCCCATCTCCGGCCGTCGTTAACTATTAGCCCCGCACAACATTTTGACCAGCCCATCTCCTGCCGTCGTTAGCTATTAGCCCCACACTACGTTTTGACCAGCCATCTCCTGCCGTCGTTAGCTATTAGCCCCACACAACGTTTTGACCAGCCCACCTCCTGCCGTCGCCAGCTATTAGCCCACACAACGTTTTGACCAGCCCATCTCCGATCGTCGTTAGCTATTAGCCCCACACAACGTTTTGACCAGCCCATCTCCTGCCGTCGTTAGCTATTAGCTCCCACACTACGTTTTGACCAGCCATCTCCTGCCGTCGTTAGCTATTAGCCCCACACAACGTTTTGACCAGCCCATCTCCTGCCGTCGTTAGCTATTAGCCCCACACAACGTTTTGACCAGCCCATCTCCGACCGTCGTTAGCTATTAGCCCCACACAACGTTTTGACCAGCCCATCTCCGTCGTTAGCTATTAGCCCTTTTCATGCTAGCATTACTAGACATGGACCTGATTTGGTACCAGATCTGAAATGCAAAGAAAGCAGGATCAACAGGGGCGAAACCGATCGTGTGTCGTTAAGCCTATCAAAATTGTCCGTAAACACTTCACTCGGGCAGCGTCTGGCGTTTGTCTTTTGCTTGGCACAAAATAATACAGTACTGCGAGCGTGAAATGGTGAACAAGTACATAGTAATAAAACCAAAATGCCTTCAGGTGTAAACTATATTTATTTTGATAGCCTTTACGACAAGCCATGAAATTTGCTCCTACCTGTTTTATTTTTTGTGCGTTCTGTGTTTTGATATCCCTTACGACGGAACATGGCTTTTCTCCTGTGTATTTGATTTTCAGTGCATTTCACCTTTGCCATCAAATGAACAATGAACTCTGTCCAAAAATGCTGGTGTCAATATGGCCATTGAAACCGGGAAAGGCTGGATGGCATTCGGCTGAAGCAGGGGTATTCTGATTGCAATTTCACATTCTACCACTCAGCTAACCAGGTTGAACTTCAGGTCCTCAGGTCCTGGTTTTCAGGACCGAAAGGACCTCAGGTCCTTCCGGGCTGGCTCAGTGGTAGAACACTGGACTCGTCATCAGAGGACCCAGGCTCGAACCCAGTAATTGCAAGATGCAAATTCGGCTCGTGACACGCGGACAAGGCTGCAAGGTGAACACCACGCGGTCTGTCCGGATCCAACAACGCCTGGCGATGGCCGCAGCATGAACTGACCTCAACGATATGCACGCACCCACCATACGAGGAGAATTGCTCGAACAATTAGTCCATCGGTATTACCAAAACGTTGCTTCAGTGATTTCGTAAAATTGCTTGAAGTATTTAGGGAATGTTGGCTGAGTGTGTTGAGTCAGGGTCTTGCACCGCAGCCTTCTGCCTTTAACCCCGAGAGACGCTAATGTTCTTACAATGCCAGCGAAATATTTCATGTAAGATACCTTTCCAGTCGTGCGAATGGTCAAGCGTGCAAAATTCAAAAGAATGACAGCCGGCAGGAAGTCCGCGCCGCCGAAATACGGCGGCAGCCCTCAGGTCATTCCTCGACAAGCACGCGACGGTCCCACTCCCATCGACAGCTGTCGGTCGGGCCGCGAGCGTCGTCCGCCGTCCGCAGCGCCGGCGCCGGCGTCTCCCAGCGAGCGGCGCTCTCGCGGCGTTCGGCCTCGCGCGACCGCCCGCGGCAGCAGCCCGCGGCACGGGCCGAGCCAGGCGTGCCGACGGCCGCCCGCGGCAGCAGCCCGCGGCACGGGCCGAGCCAGGCGTGCCGACGGCCGCCCGCCGCAGCAGCCCGCGGCACGGGTCGAGCCAGGCGTGCCGACGGCCGCCCGCCGCAGCAGCCCACGGCCACGGCCGAGCCAGCCGTGCCGACGGCCGCCCGCCGCAGCAGCCCGCGGCACGGGCCGAGCCAGGCGTGCCGACGTGCGCGCGGCGCTGGGGTGCCGCTTGCGTGCGGCCCCTCTGCCGGCTGTCGGAGCGAATTAGCCGGTCGTGATCGGCCCCCGACGGCCTGATCGGGGGAGTGGGGGGGGGGGAGGGGGAGGGGGGGGGGGAGTCGCCTGTGTGACCTTTGCACGTCAACCGGTGTGATCTCTGCCCAGAAGTGGCGTGGACGCGTGCGCGGCTGGTGTGACGCTACCCACCGCTGGCCAAATACCCGCACGTCTTTGGTTTGATCCCTTCTATTGCTGGCCACTGTGGCACTCTCCCATCGCTGGTCTGATCTCTGACCGCCGCGGTCTGATCCCTGGACTCCGCTGGTCTGATTCCTAACCACCCCAGTCTGATCCCTGGACACCGCTGGTCTGATCCCTGCCCACCCCGGTTTAATCCTTGGATACCGTTGATCTGATCGCTACCCACCACGGTCTGATCCCTGTACTCCGTTGGTACGATCCCTGCCCACCCGGGTCTGATCCCTGAACACCGCTGGTCCGATCCCTGCCCACCCGGGTCTGATCCCTGGACACCGCTGGTCCGATCCCTGCCCACCCGGGTCTGATCCCTGAACACCGCTGATCCCTGCCCATCGTTGGCCTCATCCTTCCCGGCATCAATCTGGTACCTTGGGCCGACCCAGATTCAATCGTTCTCAGCCCCAATGGGAATCGACCCAGAATTTACATCGCTACCCAGCTTTGTAATCGGAATCAGCTGTGCGCGCTGCGAGCGGGAGTCGGAACCGATTCCAGCGGGCAGAGTGGAGGTCGTCTGTTTCTGGCGCGCGGCCCGGCGCCGCAAGCCGCCCTGCGCCAGCGTGGGCTGCAGCATGTAGCCGCGGCGTCACCAAGGGGCGTCGCTCTCCGACCCAGCGCCGCACTCGGCTCCACTTCCGCCTGATTAGCCCCTGCGGGCGTCGCTGGTGTAAGTGGGCATTTCACACGCGGCCGACTCGGTGTGACGGAGGCTTCCATCAGCGGAGACGGAGCGGCGTGTGGGCGTCAGCAGACGGGCCGCCGGTCGAGCCGGGCTCCGGCCTTCCGCGAACCGCGGTCGGCGACGCTGACCCGGCAACAGCTTGCGTGTGGTCTCACGCGACCGCTGACCATGGACGCTTAAGCAGCGGCAGTTTGTCCCTGGCCGCGCTGACCACGCCGGTCTACGTCCTCGGTTGGACTGAACATCGCTGTTTGCGGAGCGGCGGCGGCATCCTCGGTGGGTGGCCCCTTCGCCGCCGCTTGGTGGACGGCAGTAATGGTCTGCAGTCTGAGGCGTTCCGTTGCCTGACCATCGCCAGATGTAACAAGTGACGCGTCCGTGGATGGCGGGATGACTGCCGTCTTTATCCAGACGGTACGCCCTTGCGTGGCCTGACAGCCGCTGACCGTAACACAGTGGCACGTCCCTGGGTGGTCTGATCGGTGCCGTCTGAGGCACAGCACAACGTCCCTCGGTCCCGTGTAGCCCAACCACTGCTGGCTGCGGTGCGACGGCATTCAGGTCCCGGTGTCGCTGCATGACTGCCTCTCTCGGCAAACGAACTGGCTGCCCGGGCGGACCTCTGCCAGGTCTGGCGACTCTGGCCGCCTGCCCGAACTCCAGAACTTTGCCACCGCGGCCTTACAGCCACAAAAGTTAGATAATTTGGCAACTGCCTAATTCCCGGAATTGCAAATTGCTCAACGAACTGTAGGCACTTGCGTGGATTAGAAACTTGCTTATAGCGTGATGTATGTAACTTGGATGCAAAGCGGAAAGCACGGCTCAGTTGGCACGGTGAACCTCAG